AGGGGTATGCCTGCCACCCCGGCCCCTACCTGCTCTGCCAAAGACACCAGGTGAGACCCTCCCCCACTGCCCAGATGCTGTGGGGGGCTGCAGAACCCCAGGGGCCAGAAGAGAATCCAGCCTGCACCCCTGGTATTTTGGACTTCAGTGTTCAATAACAGCCCGGGGGTAGGGAGGCCTGACCCTGCCCTCGTAGCAGGTGGGAGCCCCGGTCTGCACATGTGACCCCACGTGAGGCTGACTGGGAAGGGTGGGACTTCGGTCCGCATCTTGAAGGACACTTATCTATGAGCTTAATTCAGAAAAGCATTACCTGGATGCAGAGGCTCAGCTGGGATATAAGATTCGAGCAAAACCAGAGAACTAGAAGGTGAAGCGAAGCTCCCCTGACCTGGGTGTCCTTTACGGACAGCACACCACAGGACTGGGGACCAGCAGACCAGGACAGCTGCTGCCCTCAAGGAACTCAACGAAGAGAAGCTTCCCACAACCCACAACACACCTGATCGGCACTGTGACACACAGGACGCTCCCTCTGTGGTGGGCAGGCTGCGAGGTCAATGAGGACCGTGGTTTTAGTCCGATATGGATCTGTTAGCTTTGCACAAAGGAAAGAAAATGGTGTGGCTCAGGTGGTTGGAGCATTGTCCCGTACACCAAAAGATCGCCGATTCAATTCCCGGCCAGGGCACATACCTAGGTTGCAGGTTCGATCCCTGGTTGGGGACCATGTAGGAGGCAACCAATTGATGTTTCTCTCACATCAGTGTTTCTCTCTCTCTCTCTCTCTCTCTCTCTCTCTCTCTCTTTCTCCTTCTCTCTCTAAAATCGATAACAACTTATCCTCGGGTGAGGATCTAAAAAAAAAGTCCTAGCCATAGACAGACACCTAACTACAGCCACAAGTCTTAGGTACAGAATAAGCCCAAATGACAGTCACAGAGAGATCCCCTAAGTCCAGGTACACCACACACTGACCCCCAACACTAACCATAGAAGGGTCCTAACTCCAGTGTGAGACCCCAAGTCAACCCCTCAAATCTTTCTCTTAGTTCCCAAGTCACAGGCTGGGAAATTCCTGAGCAGAGTTCAAGCAGGAGGAGGACAAAGCTTTGGGATCAGGGCTGTCTTCTTTCTAACGGTGGGTCACAAAGATGTCCCTGCAGGTGGCTGCTCTGTTCTGTGGGGTCCCATGCAGGCCAGCCTTACCCCCCTGACAGCTGGCCAGGCCCTGTGCTGGCCAGAACAGAGTAGGGTCAATGGATGTTCACAAATACTTTTTTTGAATGAATCAAGATGTTAACTAATAATTGCTTGCTTGTGCTCCATACTCTTCATCAGTCTCCTGTTCTTCTGTATCTCCATATTCATGCCGGCTCCCTCCCTTCAGCATTTCTGCACACTCCAGTCTCCCACCTCACAAGCGCTGTCTACACCCTCTGACTCCCGCACCATCTCCCCTCAGTCACATCAGCAGCAGCAACCAGGCCACTGAGCCCAAAGGCCACTGTGTGCTCCGCATTGTACTTGGCCTCTCCCAGCAGCTGGCACGGCGGCTCGACCCTCCTCTGTGAAATGCTCCTCCCACCACGGGTCCAGCCTCCTCCACTCCAACCTTCAGCTGAGTCCCTCAAGGTGCTATCCCAGGAATCTTCTTACTCCACCCTCGCCCTGGCGAGATCACCCCCTACCCACCCCTTCACCCCATGCTTCAATTCCCACCTCTACAAAAAGGACCAGATTTTTACCTTCAGTCCAGACCCTCCTTCTAAACCAGGCCCCCAAATACCCAGCTGCTCACTGACATCCCCATTTGTGTCCCAAGAACGTCCAATTCAGCTCTTAGAAGTCAAGCCCTCCTCCTCCCTCCTGGGTCGCTCCACCTCAGAGAATGGCTGCACCATTTACCCAGCTGCTCCAAACCTGGGGCCGCTCGTGCCTCCTGCCTCCCCCAAACCCTCCTGTCTCATCGGTCTACCACCTAGGAAATCTGAGCTCTGACCACTTCCAAATAACCTCACAGGGCCTGAGTCGGCCACCATCCTCCCCTCACTGAACTCCTGCAGAAGCTCCAACTCGTCTCTGACTTTCCACTCTGCTCCTTCCTATGCACTCGCCACACAACAGCCAAGGTGATTTCTCAAAAGTCCCATCATCTTACTCTTCTGACTAAAATCTTCAATGGTTTTGCTGCCCTTAGACCATTCTGGTCTTCTGGTTGGAGAAACCATCCCTCTCCTGCCTCAGAGCATTTCGGCACCCAGAGCCCCGCTTCCTGAGTGTGGAGTACGTGTGAATGGGACCGCTGGTGAGGTGCGGGTTCTGATCAGTGGTCTGGGGTGAGGCCTGGGATTCTGCATTTCTCAGGGGCTCCCAAATAATGCAGGTGTTAGTGGTTTCTGGACCTCACTCCGAGTGGTAAACATCTAGAACACCCTCCTCCACCCTAAGTCCTACTCAACTCTCAGGGTTCAGCTTAAACATCATTTCCTCAAAGAAGCCCTACCTGACACTCTCCAAGATTAGGTTAGCTTCCTCCCCCACAGACCTTGTACTGTCCCCCAGGGACACCGTGCTTCTCCTTTGGAATACGCATCACACCTAACTGTTCATCCCTCATTCTTAAAATTCTTTTTTCAACTCTTGTCTCTCTAGCTAGACTATAAGCTCCGGAACAGGGGCCACAATGTCTTGTTCACTACTAAGTCCCAGCACTCAGCTCATGGTCAGCATTTGTAGTGAAAAGCCGTTGGTCTCGCCTGCCTGCATCCATTTGCTCTTCTTCTCATAGTAATACCTCAGTGTTCCTTTGAGGAGCCACCCCTCTCCCACTCTTGGTTCTTAGGGTTTAGGTGGTGGACATGAGACCCAAGTCTGGCCAATCAGAGCCTTCCATCTGTCTGGTTGCAATGATTGGCTCAGAGATAGACATGTGACCTAAGCCAGGCCAATGAGCTTCTTCCCTGGAACTTTTGTTAGAACTACTGGGGAAAAGAGACTCTTCACTGGAGTTACTTAGCAAGTAGAAACAGCAGTCACATTCCTGTCATCACAGAGAAAGAGTTTAACAAAGAATGAACCAATACAGAAGAGAGCTGCAAAGAGACAGATTTCATGGATACAGCCATGCCTGGAGTCTATACTTGCCATTACAAAGGCAATAAATTCCCTTTTATTCTTAAGCCAAAATGAGTTATGTTTCTGTCACTTAAAACCAAGAGTCACTTTTTTTCTTGTATTTCTATATCATTTTTTTAATTAATTTATTTTATTACAGATGTTTCTCCTTTTTCCCCCATTGACACCCTCGAAACCAAGAGTCTTGAATAATAAACATTCAAATAATTTTGGGTGTTGAATGAATTAAATGAGTATGTGAGTAATTAAAGACTGCCAAGAGCCCTACCCAGTTTGGCTCAGCAGTTAGAGCATCGGCCTGTGGACCAAAGAGTTGTGGGTTGGTTCCAGTCAAGGGCATGTACCTTGGTTCGGTCCCCAGCCCTGGTCAGGTCATACAGGAGGCAACCAGTCAATGTGTCTCTCTCATGTCGATGTTTCTCTCTCTCTCTTTTTCTCTACCCACCCCCCATCCTTCCCTCCCAATCTATCTGAAGATAAAGGGAAAAATATCCTCGGGTGAGGATTACAAAATAAAGATTAAAAAATAGAGACTGCCAAGAGAATTCAGCGACTCCTAGGAAACAGAAAGTTCTCCCTGCAAACTCCCGCCATCCATGAGCACAGAGACAAGCATCCCACACCCCATTTTGCAGACCAATGTGCTGAAAGTCAGCACTCCACCGTGCAAACAAGACCCCAGCACCTGGCTCGGATGCCAGCACTGTGACAAGGCTGATGAAGGTGGGCTGGCTTTCAGTGCCCCCAGGTACCCCACCAGGAGGAGAGCAGAGCTGTCCTCAGTCAGCCCTAAGCCCCGCCCACTCCTGAATCCTAATCCAGTCAGGGCAGGTGCTGGCTGCCATTCAGTGATATTACCCCCAGTGCATGGTGGGCATCCAAAAAGATGGTTTTTATCTACTTCCTTTGGGTGTATCACTTTGCAACAGATCCGGTCAGGGAAGAGGGGTGCAGCAGAGAGCAACAGGGAAGAGCCCTAATGATGTCCCTGTGAGTCGCCTCACGGCAGAGCTCCAGGAAGGAGATGGAGGCTGGCCTAGATGTCCCCTCAGCTGATTCAGGAGGCGGTGACTGTTTCAAAGCTAGTCCTCACCTGGCAAAATGTAAGGGAGGGTGAGGGGGAGGTGCGCTGATCCCAGGCAGGAACACTGCCTGCGCCAAAGTCCTCCCTGGGGCCACATCCAGTGTGCGTGCCGTGTGCCGAGGGGAGCTAGGGTAAAGGGGGAGGGTGCTGCCCCCTCAGCTCCTTTCCAGGAATGGGATGAGCCTGGAGTCCTGGGATGTGGTCTCCCAGGAAAGAGACTTGTGAACAAAGTGTTAATAGGAAAAGAATCAGACTTCCCAGAACATCTAAGGCAACTCTCCCATGGGGATTGGGGTGACGGGGCCAGCCCAAGGCCAGCTGGAGGCAGAAAGACCAGCACGCAAGCTCCATTCAAGAACCAGAAGGGCCCCAGCCCACAGGACCCCTCCGCCCCCCGCCCAGGCCCTGCCGGCCCTTCTGGGCAGTGAGTGGCCCCTTCGGGCACTAGCCTGTGGCTGCATTCTGACCCTCTCCCACTCACTCCTGCCTGGGCCCCCTGTTCCAGAACCTCACAGCTCCACAAAGCCTCTCACTAATTACCCAGCATCCTGCCAACCCCACTCAGCCCCAGTCTATTTGCTCCCTGGCCCTAACACCCCTGAGCCTCAGGCACACTGTCCTGCACCGCTGAGCTCAAGTGGGTGCTGCTTCCAGAGGCGGCGGGGCCCCCCAGGCCCCCATCGGGACAGGCAGCTGGGCCTGGCACCAGGACAAAGCAAAGCCTTGAGATGCACCCCTCTCCCCACCCCTCCCCACTTACCAACCCTAAGCCTCTTACCTTCATGGTGGGAGGTGCGGTGAGAGGAGGTGACAGCGACCGGTCTGGGAGGGGCACATCCGAGCTGTTGGCCAGCTCCTGCTTCCTGTAAGGAGGACACAGAACACAGAAGAGGTGAGTGAGGGCCTGCCTGCGCTGTCCCCTCTCCTCTAAAGCGGGTGCGCTTGGGGACACCGTCTAACACACAGTGCGTAAAACCAGAGTGGGGTGCACTTTCTTGCTGGGATGGAATTAAAGCTGACACAGGGCTGCTCCCAGTGTGCTCCCTGCTCCAGCATTACCAGCATCCCCTGGGAACTTGTGAGACATGCAGATTCTCAGGTGCACCCCAGACTCTCCGGGGACGGGGCCCGGGAATCTGTATTTTAATCTCTCCAGGTGGTTCTGACACACGCTGAAGTCCGTGAACCATGGAGCTGGCGAGATGCAGGACTAGGACCAGGGTGGGAGAAGAAGGGGAGAGGGGTAAACACTTTCAATTCATCCTCTCTGGGGGCCCTTCTCAACACACACACACACACACACACACACACACACACCCCACCCTGCCAGACGGCTGACGTTGGGAGGACGGGGCTGCCGGCAATGCGAGCTGCAGGTAAAACTTATTTTAGTCCATGTGGGCTAGGACCATGGAGAAGCAGCTAAACAGAGTTGTATCACCATGACAACATGATTGCGACAAGTTCGCTGCTCTCACACACCCCCCACCTTCCATCTGGCCCTAGCTGGTGACCAGGGAGCGCTGGTTTGCAGTCTGATCACCAGGTAGGATGTGTGCAGTCGGATAAGGCTTCGGAACAACAGTTACACAACAGGGCCAGCTGGGCAGAACCTGGGAAGTCCTGGACGAGGGACTCGGGTATCCTGGACATGCCCTAGTCAGACCCGGGGATGGGAGAGAAGGCAGGGGTGCCAGTGTTAAGAGCCTAAGAGGACCAGGATGAACCATCGAAGCCTCAGCTTTGCAGCTGTTTCCTTCTCCGGAGCCCCAGCCTGAAGCAGTTGAGTCAGCCCGACACCTGGTCCCACTTAAATGACCAAAGGACCGTCCCCCGACCCTGCCAACCGGAGAGAATGCTTCTGCACTTCTTTCCAGTGCATGCACTGCCAAGGGGGCTGACGGCTCCCACCCAGCCTCCTTCCCGAGAGAAGCCCACCCCCTGCAGAGCCCGCCCCACCCTCGGCAAGCCCTCGCCCAGGGGCCCAGCCACCACCCTGCCAGGCCCAGGCCAAGGGAAACCAGGCCAGGCGCCACAGGGCCCTGTCCACCCTGACACATCCCCTGCCGCCTGTCTTCTAGAAAGCACGACAAGGAGGCCACGGGAACATCTGGCTTGGAGAGGATCCATGTGACCCCATTAACCTCAGCCGTGCCAATTCCGCTTCTCTGCTCCTCCATCTGCCGTCCTCCTCCTTTCTTCCTGGACCTTGGCCTCGCTCTGATGGCTGGAAAAGGGGTCTCCTCCCCCCAGATCCAGACTGTAACTAGCTCAGGAACCAGCAGGGCCGAGACTCAGCACACACACACGAATACAGCTTCTAGCTCTCGGCCAGAGCCACCAGCCTTCCCTTCCAGCGTGGGGTCCACCCGCCTGTGGGCCTGACAGCTGGGTCAGGCACAGGCTCACCCCTCCTGCCACTCTGCCCTCTCCCAAGTAGCCACTGTTCCTGCTCTGTGGGCCAGCACCCCTGAGAGCCATGGTGGGGGGGAGGGAGGAAGAATGATCAAGGATGAGGAGCCCCACCCTCAGGTCCCCAGAGGAGAGAATGGATGAAGGCAGCTCCCCTTGGGGGCCAAGAGCCTGGCAGGGAAAAGCATGCAGAGAGGGGAGGCGAAGCCCCCCACCCAAAGACTATCGGACTGCTGGGGGTTAGCTGAGGACCTCAAGCCTACTCCCCTGAAGGTGGCTTGTAGGCAAACTTGACCGACAGCTGCCCTGGCTCTCCAAACACGACCTCTAGGGGAGGGCAATTCCGGCAGATTTGTAGCATCAATGGGCAGGAGACACGTACATGGTCACACTGCCTGGTTCTCTCCATAAGGCACAAGATGTCCACTCCCATGAGACCAGAGCAGACGTGATCCTCATCCAAGGTCCCTACATCCCAGACTAAGGGCCCCGTTCCCACCCCCACCCCCCGGGCTGAGCCCCTCTCTCCTGCGCCAGCCTGTTTTCCCTGGAAACTGGAATAACCTCCCAGGACCAGTCTCCAGGGAGCAGCGAGGGCGATCGGGCGGGAGCACGGGGCGTCTCCACCACAAGGGTCTCCCACATGATGCTCGCAGCCGCGAAGGTGCTGCAGCAGGAGTGAGCACCAGTGGTGCCAGCCTCATGCCAGCTCCAGAGTTCTGTCCAAGACCCCAGAGGGGACACCAGGGTGGGCAGAAGGCACGACTGCTGCCCTCGACGAGATCAGAACTGGGGCACACCCAGACCCTTGGCTGCAGATCAGAACCTGCTCTAACTTGGTACAGAGGTGGTTTGGGATGGTATTTGCGGGGGGGAGGGGGGGCAGCCACACTGAACCATCCCTCCTCTCGACTCCACCCCTGTCGTAGGAGCCAAAGGCACTTATTATGAGTTGAATTGTTTCCCCCTAAAGATAGGCTGAATCCTACCTCCAGCACCTCTGAATGTGACCTTATTGGAAATAAGGTCTTGCAGGCGTAATCAGGTTAAGATGAAGTCATCAGGTTGGTCTCTGAATTCAACGTGACTAGTTTTCTTATACGAGGAGAGGGTGGCCACGTGAAGACACAGACACGTGGGGAGAAGGCCACGTGACAACGGAATGATGCAGCTGAAGCACCAGGCAACGGCAGGGACTGCTGGCCACCAGAAGCGACAGGAGACCAGGACAGATGCTTCCCTGGAGCCTCTAGAAGGAGCCTGGCCCTGTGGACACCTTGAGTTCTAGCCTCCACAACTAGGACCACATAGGTCTGTTATTTCAAGCCACCCTGCTTGTGGTACTTGGTTACATTTGTGGAACTTGGTTACGGCAGCCCTAGGAAACAAACACACAACCCAATCCCAGGTTCTAGCCTTGGCTTTGTAACCGGAGGACCAAGAACACGGAGGATGGAAGCCCTGCCTCACCTCACACCCCTGCTGTGGCCAGCTGGGCCCACCTTGTCCCGCCCCAGCCCTTACAACCAATGACATCGGAGTGTGAGCCGCCCTCCCACGGACAGCCGGGCCAGGCGGCTGCTGGCTGGTGCTGAGACAAGACGGAGTAAGAACCACCGTGTCCACTTCAATCCCAGCCCTTTCTCAGGCAAGCATACCACACGCGAGCAGGTAGAGTAACACGATCCATCCCATCAAGGAGCAACCCCGAATCTGTTTTATTATAAGTATAAAGTAAATTGTTAGCAGAGGCAGGACCCTCACTATTCTTTGTCACATCTTTCTAGTAACCCACAGTGATCCTGACATGTGTCAAGGCACTGAGATTGGAAACTGCTCCTTCAACGAGCCAGCCAAATATCCACATGCAGCAATAAGGACACAGCGTCCCGGACCCACACGGGGACACACAGAGGAGGGGTTGGCGATGGGAGCAGAGGAGGAGGAACAGAGGACAGAGAGAAAGTAGAGGGGAGGAAGATCATTCACTCAGCTAAGAGAAGGGTGGTAAGAGCAGGCGCGAGTGGACAGGACAGGAGCCCTCCTCCCACCTCTGGGGGTCCTAGAGGCGCTGCCCACTCGGCATCCCTCTGCCCCAAAGCCAAGTGCCACTACTCTGGGATTCTTTCCCCAGAGCCTGGGTGATCCTGGGGCGGCTGGGAGGGCTCAGGGAGGCCCAGACAGGTCCTAACTGGCTTTAGCCAAATGAGGTTCTGGCCAGCTTTGGTCCAATGCAAACCTCAGGAAGAAATGATCAGAGAGCCTGGAGTGGAAGCTGAAAAACCAAAGGGGTGATTTTCCCAAATGGGGCTGTTCGTCGGGAACTGGACCGGCCCCGGAGAGGGAGACCCACTTTTAGCACCCAGGCATCCAGGATCCTCACCTCCAGCCCCCGCTGGCTCTGCCTCCGGCCACTTAAGATGACTGCAGCAATCATCTCTTGCTCGTTTTCTATGGCAACGCCCCACACTAAGAATCAAGACATTCCTGGGTTCAAGTGTGGCTCTGCTTGCTACCCCCCTGAGTGACCTTGGTTAAGTCACCTCACCTCTGTGTCCCAGATGCTACATCTGCAGAGATGGAGGCGATAATGTTCTAAGGAATTAAAAGTAATGGCTGTGAAACGAAACAGAAAGTCCTCTAAAATGTAGACCATTATTATTATTATTATTATTATTATTATTATTACTACCATCATCCTTATTATTATCATAACTCATAAAGTGGTGACCTGGTCTCCAGGCAGAGTGAGAATGAAGGGTCCAGGACTATTTAAATGTCTTTGAAAACATTTCTGGCATCTCAACTAAGCACCAGTTCTAGCCCCAGGGATCTACGGTCAGGATCATAACTGTCGGTTAATAATCAACAGGGAAAATACCCACCTATCATCAGCTGGCTCCGGGCCAGGTTTAAGCCCTCCGACTGGCAGAGACGTCTCCCAAACCTCAGACTCCCTTTGTGTGCACCTGCATCTCCCACCATCTAGTCCCCTGCCAACCACCACACGCGACTCTGCTTTCTCCTGCTTTTCAAAGAGCCACGCTACAGGAATGGCAACGGCCGCCCACTGCAAAGAGTTTCTCGGAACAACCAAACCAAATGGAATGAAAAACATTATTCACAATAGCCAAAAGGTAGAAGTAACCCAAGTGCCCATTAACCAATGAATGAATGAACAAAATGTGCTCTTTCCACATGATGGAATATTATTCAGCCAGAAAAAGGAATGAAAGTAGTGAGGCATGCTACAATGTGGAAGAACCTCGAAAACATAACGCTGAGTGAAAGAAGCCCAGACAGCCCTGGCCGGTTTGGCTCAGCAGTTAGAGCATCGGCCCGCAGACCAAGGAGTCACAGGTTCGATCCCGGCCAAGGGCATGTACCTCGGTTGCGATATCCCCGGCCCTGGTCAGGGTCCTGTGGGAGGCAACCAGTAGATGTGTCCCTC